TGATATGAGCAAAAATGTAAGATTTAATACTTAGTAAGCCTGAACTATGGACAAATATGGAAGACTGCCCATTCAATAGCAGACCATTCTTTCAACCAAACAAGTGACAATTATGAAAGCTCATTACAAAAAATAAGCCTAAACAAATTTCAGAGGATTAGTAATAACATAAAGACCATGTGTGCGGGTATATACACATACTATATATTTATGTGTGTGTACATACTTTTAACCACACTACTATGAAAGTAGAAATCAATAGTGAAATATAACGAGAAAATCACTGCATTAGAATTTGAAACAACTTCTAATTATAACCTCAAAGAAAATGTATTCAATATTTAGAAAAGATAAAGAGAAAAAATATTATGTACCAAAATTTGGGAGATGGAACTAAATACCAACAGGAAAATTTTAACCAAAACTATTTTTGTTAGAAAAAAACAGAAGACTGAAAATTAGTACAGGTATTCATTTCAAGAAATAAAAAAACAAGAAAACCAAAACTTTAAAGGATTAGAAAAAATGACAGTAAAAATTAATGAAATAGAAAACTGATATAAAACCCAAAACAATTTCAAAAGTTAACACATTGAAAAAGACTAATAAAACTGAAAAACCATTTTTTTCAAATCAAGAAAAAAACATGAATAAAAAAGGAAATACAACTAGGAAAAACTGAAAAAATTTTTAGAAAACTAAAAATTACCACAACTATGCAAGAAAACAAAAACTAATCAATCCCACTGCCATTAAATAAATCAAGTTAAAAATAAAAAAGAAACAAAACAAAAAACTCTAGACTCAGATGATTTTACCACTAAATTTAACCAAACATTCAAATAACTCACAAACAAAATACTGATGTAAAAATCCCAATAACACAAGACAGCAAATCTATCAATGCATCAAAAGCAAATTATGACCACTGCGCTTAATCTAAGAATGAAAAACTGGGTGAATATCAGGAAATTAATTGAACAGAAAGGAATACTCCCAACAATGTAAATGACATTTTTCAGAATCATAAAACAATCTCACTTTATTCAAGCCAAACTACCACTTTCCTGTTCCTCAGAAACAATGCCACCTCCGATCTATACATAAACTATTTTCTCTGCCCAGAATACTCTAATTCCAGTTCTTATAGTTGGCTCATTTTTATCATTCAGTTCTCAGCTCATAAGTATTTTCAACAGGCCTTCCTAAACATTCAAGGAGTAAATAAAAGCACCAGCTCCCCTCAAACCTTGTCAAGGTCAATGATGACTAAATCTTGAGCTCTGTCCTCAGTCCCTCACTTTACCACACCTATCAGCAGTATCAGACACAGATTACTCCCTCGTCGGCATTTAAAGCTTTACATTCCAGATACATTCTTCTGACTTGCAAATTCTTCAGTTTCCTTTCCTATGTTCGAACTCTAAATGCTGCATTGCAATAAGGTTTAGTTCTACCCACTCAACATTCATCTACGAGGCACCTCAAACTTTACCCAGTGGTCTACTACCTTTGAAAAGCATTGGTTCTTTTTATTGTTGGTTTATGCCTTAACATTTCTGAAATTGGGATGCACATTTTAAACTCTGTTACAGGAAGCTGCATTTTATAAGTAGTAGCACCTTAACTGAATGATATATGATTTGCTCCAACATGAACTTCTGATCTTACCCCAAAACCTCCTGTAGAAGGTTTCTCAACCTCACTTAGTAGAATCTCCACACTTAAGGATGCCAGATACTTTACAGTCCTTGATGCCTTTCTTCCCACCCTCTATCCAATTTGTGAGCAAATCCTAAACTATCTTAATCTCTCTTAGGGTTATTCTATTAGTCGTTTAACTGAAATCCAAGCTTTTGCCTCTATTCTCCTACAATCTGTTTTTCACACAGCAATCTAAATGCCACGCCTTTGCACAAATCCTGGTGGCCTCACATCTTATTGAAAACAAATGCAAAGTCTTTACATTGGCCTACAAGGCTCTGTGAGTTAGTTGGCTTCTCGATATTTTCAGATCTATCTTTTACTAGTCTCCTGTTCACTGCAATTCAGTAACACTGGGTACCAATGCAGGATCTTAGCATTTGCAGATTCCTCTACCCAAAATGCTATTTCCCCAAGTATCTCCATGCTCATCCCTTATCTCCTTCATGTCTTGGCTCAAATACTATTTTCTCACTGAAAACTTTCCTAGTCATCTTATTTAATACTGTAACCACCCCTCTGGTACTCCCTATCCTTTCCTGCTTTATTGTTCTACACTTATTATCATCATCGAACATAATATCTATCTGACCTACTTATTTTTCTGTCCTCCCCCCATAATCATAAATGCCACGAAGGCAGAATGCTATATTCCCCAAGGTACAGGCACTCAATAAAGAGTTGAAAAATGATCTCATAATTCCATGCCAGAGTTTATTCTATCCACCATTATACTCAATGAGTACATGCCTAATTAATGCAGGATTTATTCAACAGCAATAACAATTTCAGTAACTGCTGACTAACAGGTTTGCTTTAGTACTCTCAAGGCCATGCGGAACCACAATGTAACCGTGTTGTTTGTGGAAAGGGAAACCTCCCCTTGTGCTAGACTTGGTAACAGAACTCTGGTTAATGGTCACTGGTTAGATTATTAGAGCTAGTAGTTTATCTATTAAGATAACTAAGAAAACAACTGGGCCTTAGAGAGTCATAATAGAAAGTCAAGAGTGCTTAACATCTGCAGCTGTCCATAAAAGAATTTTGAAATTTAAATACTAATTCTCTGCCTGCATTTTATACATGTAACTGGCTTAGTATATTTGTTTTAGTTTCAATATCTAAGAAACCACTGTGATTAATCAACAGTCTCAGGGCTAACTCACAAGTATCTTTGGCAATTTTTAAAACCAAGATATAATTCACATCTATTTTCTACCTTTTTGAAATAAAAATTCAAATTTTTTATTGTGGGAAAATACACATAATGTTAAATTTATCATTTTCACCATTTTAAGGTAAAAGAATGTATGTAGCAACAATGGTTTCTAATATACTTACAAGACTGTGCAAATATCACCACCATATAATTCCAGAGTTTTTTCATCACCCCCAAAAGGAGCGCATGCCTATTAAAAAGTCACTCCCCATTTCTCCCCTCCCCTCATACCCCAGCAACAACTAATCTATTTTGTCTTTATGGATTTGCCTATTCTGAACATTTTACATAAATGGAATTATAGACTACAGTCTTTGTGTCTAGCTTATTTCAATAAGCATAATATTTTCAAGGTCCACCCAGATTATATCCATATGGATACTGTATGACATAGCAAATTTTATTTAACGATGGACTTTTGAGTTGTTTATAATTTTTCACTATTAAAATTAGGAAAAAGCTAATTTTGTGCAAATGAGTAAATCTTTGTTAGAACAGTAACCAGATCAAAGAATATTTCTATTTAAAATTCTATTTTGGACAATAAATACTGCCAAATATGATATACTGCTTAGGTTCCCATGAACAATTCATGACAAGATTAACTTCCCTGTACCTTCATATTAATGAATTTTATATTTAATTTTCCAAAACAGAGAGGAAAAAAATCATTATTTTAATTTCCTTGATAACTAGTAAGCATATAGCCTATTTTCTGTTTAAGAAACATTAATAGCCCATTATTCCAACTCAATATGAGTAATTATACCACCCATTTAAACAATAAATTAAATTCTCATATACATTTAGCTCCGTCCCAATTTTCTCCATTCTGCTGCTCTTTCTGCACCAATAACATGCTATAAACGACTTTATAGTATACTTTAGCATCTGGTACACAAATATGTTATTCATGATTCTGCTTTTTCAAAATCTCCTTGGGTTTTGTGGCACATTTATTCTTTCAGATGAACTTTAGAATCAACTTGTAAATTTACCTGTTGAGACTCTCACTGGAATTATATCAAATGTATATATTAATTTGGAAATGACTGGCATATTAATATTAAATTTATGTTTCTAGGAACAGAATATGTTTCAACATTTATTCAGATCTTGGTTTTGTATCCTTCAGTAAAATACTCATTATGTATTTTAATAAGGTAAGTAAAATCTATTTTCTTTTTACTTCCATGTGTACTTACTACTCATCTCTACGTAAGTAAAAACTTTTCTAACTATTTTTGAGTAAAAAGATCACTTCAAAACTTTTTCTAACCATTTCTGAGTAACAAGATCACTTCCTCATATCCTATAAAATGACAGGACTATTAGATACTCTCTGAGAGCTATTTCAGCTAAAAAATTCCATGATTTTCTATAAACACTCCCCCTGAAAAAACTTTCTAAAAATCACCTAAATCATGTGCATTTTCATCTATAAAAGATTGGGAGTATATACACCAAGATAGTTAACTGGTTTCATCTTAAAGCCTAACTCTGATCCATCAGAAATGGATGCCAAGAGTGGTAAACTGATAACATCTAGGCTGGAGGAAAAAAAATACCATAGTGAATTATCGATCTCTGCCATGAAGGAGGAAATGGAAAATGGTGACACTGGTGCCGAATACTTGCCATACATGAGATTCACCAAATTATTTACCGGGTACTTTGAGAAGTACAATTATATCAAGAAGACCTTCCTATTCAACTTTATACACTTCTATATTATTAGCATTTTTATCAAGCAAGTATTACTTTCAAAATCAACACACACAAAAATATTTTAAATTTGTAAAAAAATGCTGCAATTTCATAATGAGTATGTAACGGAGAAATTTCTATTGCATTATCTTCTATAAACTTATAGTTTCCTTACTAATTTAAAAAAATTCTTACAATTTTGGTTTTAAAGATGTATTAAAAATTTATCTGGATTAAATATTCTTGAAATATTTCCAATATTTATGTCATAATACTATTTTATTATTCTTTTCTACAGTCATCAAGAAAGCATAAACATAAGCTAAGAAATTGTAGGGATAGAAGTAGTTTCAGCACTTTTAACACTTACAATTCAATTTCAACCATGCCTTTGGAACATCCTCTCTTCACAAAAAAGCCAACCTAAGAAATTAAAAAAAACAAAAACAAAAACAAAAAAACATAGTGAACTGTGTAATGACATTCTCAGGTTAAGAGATTTAGCAGTTATTATTTGTCAGATCAATAGTAACTCAAAAACTACTTTGTATTAAATGCCCCTTTATTGTTTCTACCCACAAAAAGCAGTAATATTAGTCACCAATTCTTGAACTTTTTATGTGCCAGACAGCCTCCCACAAAACTCATGACAAAGCCAGTAAGTGGTACAGAGCAAGGATCTAAACCCAGGTAATCTAGCTCCAGAGCTTGGGTTCTTAGCCATTATACCTAACACACTCCCAGAGAGAAGAAAGCCAGTGGGAAACAAGTTCTACAGAATAGCCATAAAGAGCTATATAGCCAATCTCACTGAAGTTACTAGAAACTTCAATGTAGTTGCACAGATTAAATATTAGTAACTTATCCAGTTATTAATCAGGAGATAACTGTCACCAAGTATATTTTTAAAAAGAGCAATACACGGGGTAAATATAATTTAAGTAAGACTATTTGAGCTAGTTTCTACATGTGTATGAGCATAAGCATGAAAACAGACTTGGAGCATAAAAAAATCAGACTGAATCTTAAGTCAGGCTATAAGACACCTGGGAAATAATTATCTTTTTAATAGTGGTAACAGCAGTGATAACAATCATACACACAACTAACATTTATTAAATGTTACTATATCCTGCTGTGCTAAGCTCTTCACATACAATTTTTCTCATTTAATACTCATGAGCTACCTTATGAGATATGTATTATATCCATTTAATAAATGATGACACTTGAGTTCCAGAAAGGTGGAAGAGTCTGTTCTTGTCACTAGAAAGTAATAGATAAGTTACATGACCTTGAGAAAAGCAAAAACTTAACCTCTCTGTTTAAGAAAAGACAATGGCTATGTACTAGCTTGCAGCATTCAAAATACTTTGTACCAAGCAAAAGAAAAAATCAGGAGGCAGTTCTTACTGTAGAGTACATATATGAATGGTACCCAACATGCCAGTGTTAAATTTTTATATTAGCATTCAAACATAAAGACAACATTAAAAATGTTTGCTAAGTAAATGGGCATTCCCTAAATACTTGTACATCTCTGGATACCCGAAGTCTGCAATTTGTCATCTAAGAAAATGCACTGCCAGCCTCCTTAAAAACCTCTATCACTTAAAAATGAGAAGTGTCTTCATTTGACAATTTTCACCGAAAGGTTGGTGAAAATTGTTACAGCCCAATCTATTCTTACTATACACACCGTGGAGTACAATCTAGCAAACCATTATGCAGAGGTAAGAATTAATAATTTATGACAATTGAAAACTACATTAATATTTATAAAATTCTGACTTGGTCCTTGGAAGTTATCTATTCCAACCCCCTTATCTTTGAAATAAAGAAAAATGGAAGTCCAGACAATTAACTAAGGTCAGAAGGCTAATTACTAACAGAGTGGTACCTTTTCTACCTCATAAATGCCTCCCATATAACATTAAAAACATGCACATATTTTGAATAGGTTTATTTATAATCTTAAGCAATCTATGCCTCAATCTTATAGCCCTACATTAATTTTTTAGCCTGGCTAAGAAACCTATAATATTGTTTTTTAAAATATTCTTTTGATAATATTGCAATATTCACAATAACTTTAGAAAAATGTAAAGAATCATTTCAAGTTTTAAGAATATTTTACAGTAGGTTATCAACTCAACTCTCAAGGCCTACTTTTTAAAACAGGTTTCTATGTGAAATATATACCAAGCGGTATATATATACCTCATGTACCGTTTAAGAAATAAAACCATGTATTGGGTTGGCCAAAAAGTCTACTTAGTTTTTTTCAATAAAACAGAGGATACATTTTTCATTTTCACCAATAACTTTATTGATGTGGATATTTTGAGTATGTCAGCTATCTCCCATGCAGTATAACACTGATTGTTCTCAATCAATGGCTTGATTTAATCAGTATGAACTTCAACTGGTCTACCCAACCACGGAGCATCGTCCAGTGAGAAATCTCCAGCACAAAACTTTACAAACCACTTTTTAAAAAACTTTATTTATTTATTTTTAGAGAGAGAGGAAGGGAGGGAGAAAGAGAGGGAGAAATATCAATGCATACTCGCCTCTTATGTGCCCCCTACTGGGCACCTGGCCAGCAACCCAGGCAAACTGAGAGGTCACCAGTTTGATCCCCAGTTAGGGCACATGCCTGGGCTGTGGGCCTGGTCCCCAGTCAGGGGCGAGCAAGAAGCAACAGATCCATGTATCTCTCCCTGTCTTTCTCCTTCCCTTCCCCTCTCTCTAAAAGTAAATAAATAAAATTTTTGAAAATAAACCTTTCTAGTAAATCCCATTTACATCTTCAACTCACCTTAAATTCTTTTTTGTTACAGTGTGAGAACAGCACGCAATTTCTTTTTTTCCTGTCTGGAGAGCCAATTGTCTCAGTACCATTTATCCATTTCCTCCCCACACACCTACAGGGTCAGTTCTGTCATAAATCAAGAGCATACTAATCACGGTTTTATATCTGGGCTTTTCATTCTGTCACATCACATTGGTCTATTTTATATTTCTACACCAAAGCATGTGTCTTAAATTACTATAATTTCATATTAAGTCTTAATATCTGGTAGGACAAGTTTCCCCATTTTGTTCTATTTCTTTAGCTGTATCTAAGCTATTATTTGGTCTTTTGTTCTTCCTTCTAAATTTTAGAACCATCTTGTGATTTTCTATAAACGGTATTGGGATTCTGACTGAAATGATATTGGATATGTGTGAAGAATAACATTTTTATGTCAGTGATACAGTGATTCTCTCCATTTAACCAAACATTAAAGTTTGTTAATATTTATCATTTTTTAAAATTTTATTTATCTTTAGAGGGGGGAGGGAAGGAGAGAGGGAGAGAAATATCAATGTATGGTTGCCTCTCGTGTCCCATGCTGGGAACTGGCTTGCAATCCAGGCATGTGCCCTGACTGGGAATCGAACTGCGATCCTTTAGTTTGCAGGCCCGCACTCGATCCGCTGAGCTACTCTATCCAGGGCAGATCATTTCTGAATTTCTGAATACAGTCCATACATGTCTTCTGTTTACTTACTGCTCTGTAACTTGTACTTTTGTTGCTATTATAAATGGTGCCTACTTTTATTATATTTTTCTGTTCATTAATAGTGTACCTTTGCAATTGACTTTTGCTATATAATCTTGTATCTAACAATCCTTAGATAATTCCATATTAATGCTCAGGAAGCTTATCTAGAGTTTTGTGTGTATGTGGTTTTTACGCAGACACTCATATGACCTGTGAATGACCATTTTCTGTCTTTCCAACTTGTATCTTTACTTTGTCTTCCAGTACAATGTTGAACAGCCATGATAGTAGGTAACCTTGGCTTATTACCAAATTTGCTATGTACTTTCAAAGACATCTTTTATAAAATTAAGAAAGATCCCATCAATTCCTAATTTGCTATGAGTTTTTAAATCATAAATTACTGTGAATTTAATAATTATTTATTGAGATGATCATGCAGTTCTTTAAAACATATTATGTTACGTTTTTCTAATGTTCAATCACTCTCCCATGCCTTAAATAAATTCAATTTGATCATGATGTATTAAGCATTTTCTGTACTAGATTCAGCAGATTCTTTTCTTTCTTTTTTTTTGAGAATTTTGCTTCTATATTCATGAATGAATGAGACAGGCTTATAATTTTCTCACTCTTTTCTCGATCAATTTTGGTACCTAGGGTCATATTCTCTATGTAAAATAAGTAATTATTGCTGTTGAACTAATCCATAATTGTCTGGTGTTCTGAGAAAAATGTTAACAGCTGACTTATTTTTTTTCATTAGAGTCAGTTTTGATAATTTCTATAGTTGTAGAAACCTATATATTCATTTTTTTAAAATATTTAAAATTTATTGGCATAAAGTGGTTCATAATATTCTTATAATCGTTTTCTAAATTTTATTTATTTATTTTTTAGAGAGAGGGAAAAGGAGGGAGAGAGGGAGAGAAATATCAATCAGCTGCCTCTCGTAAGCCCCTCAACTGGGAACCAAACCTGGGTATGTGCCCTGACCAGGAACTGAACCAGCAACCTCTCACTCTGTGAAACAATGCCCAACCGACTGAGCCACAGCAGTCGGGGCACTTAAAATCCTTTAAAATTTCTGCTGCATTCTGGCAACGTGTCAGTGGTAACCACCAGGGCAGTTCGTGAATATTCTGCTTCTCCGTCAAGCCCATGGCAGACTTGTATTTACCCATTTTCTTTGATGCAAGGTGTGTCCTTTCAACTTGCTTTGCTGACACTTCAGTGAAACAAAGATGTATCACACTTCTTGGAGGAAATTTTAACAGCCAATTTCCCTTCCCCAATGTGACAATCATGGAAGTATGTACTGAAATGACTCCATTGGCCTAGGGACATTAAGTCACCACAAAGGATCTAGACTAGGTAAGTAGCAAAAGCAAGAATTAACCTTTTGTATTTTCAAACTTCTTAAATTTGGGGGTGTATGGACCACAAGGTAACATACCTTAACTGCTACCTTTTACATTCCTTTATTTTCTGTTCTTTACCCCACCACCCACATTATCTTTTCAGAGGTTACTGATTTCATTAGTCTTTTTGGAAGTAGTTTTTGTTTTGTGGGGCTTACTATATCACTGTTAACTATTTTCTGCTGTTATTTTTTAATTTCCATTAAGATTTCTTCTTTGAGCTATGTATAACACAGAATTATATTTTTTATTCCAAACAAATGGAATAAACTTAGTTATTTTTTTGCTATTACTTCTCTTTTAACAGAATTGTGGTCAGAGAATATGGCCTGTACAATAACAACTCTTTAATATTTGCTTTATGGCTCAGTAGATGGTGTTTTTTAATGTTCCATTTGTGCTTAAAAAGAGTATGTGCTCTCCAATTGTTGACCACAGTGTTTATAACATTTCCATTAGTTCAAGCTTAATTGCTGATCATCCATACAGAAATACTTCATTTTATTACACTTTGCAGATGTTGGTTTTTTTGACATACAAACTGAAGTTTTATGGCTACCTTGCACTGAGTGAGTCTATCAATGCCAAAAAGATGGTGACTTGAAAGCTCATGTGGTTTGCACTGTTTAGCAATAAAGTATTTTTTAAGGTATGTACATTTTTTTTAGACACAATGCTACTGCACACTTACTATATATACTACCTTATAGTATAAACAAAATGAATTCATTTTGTCCTATGTTTTGTGATTTTTAGTTATGGACTCATGATTTCTTAGGCTTTTATGTCTGAATTCTTTTGAGGATAGCACTGAAGCTATTTTTCGTAAGCAGATCTGCATTTACTTCTGCCAATGCCTAGAGATATTACTAACTGAAGCCACTCTAAACTAAAATTACCATTTATGATAGTTAGGCCATACAGGTAATATGAATCTGGGCCCCAAACATGTGTTAAGGCTTATGGTTAAGAATTCTTTGGAAGAGTTTCTTTTTTCCCCCCATTGTATTCAGAGTTTACAATGAGATAAGTAAAGAACCCCACTGTCCATTCTGAGATGTTTTCTTTGCTGCACACGGTGCTTGGCTTTTCATTTTATATTCTAGCCCTTTCCCACCACCTTCAGGGCCCCCTATCCCATGGAACCAATTCAAAGCCAGGCTTTTAAGTACAAGGTAAGCAACTGCCCCTGGGAAAACAACTCCAGAGTTACTTAAGTTTTCAGATCCACACTATTTGTTTCTGTCTTTGGTAAATTTACTTTCCACAAGCCTGGCAAAATATTAAAAAAACAAAACAAAAAACCAACAACATTTTAGACTATCTAAGAACTTCAAGTGTTATATACTCAGAGAATTCTCTTCGTATAGATACAGCCCCAAATACTTCTAGAAATGGAAAGTTTCTCCCAGATTCTCTTCCTTCCAACTTCATTCTTTATATTCAAGCACTATGCTTTTACTATATCAAAGGAACTGAAATGCAGACATTGATTTCTTACTAAAAGCAAGTCACCTCTGAGATTTTTTAAAAAGTACTTATGTTAACTCACCTTATCCGCCCGTCCCATGAAAGCAGGTTTGCCAGCTAATCCAAGGCAAATGGCACACACAATGCTGGACTTCCCAGTCCCATTAGCTCCAATAATCATATTCAAATGGGGTCCAGGGCATACTTCACAGATATCGTATGTTCTGAATTAGAAAAAGGTAAAATCACTAAGCAGAGAAGAAGAATATTTTCTTTACTAAAGCACTTTTTCTTGCTTTACATTACCATTATCTACAGGCTTACTCAAATTCCTTTAAAAGCCAGCTCATGTTACAAATTTAATATTACTTATAGGTTGTTAATAAACTAGAGGGGAAAAAATCTATCAGTGGAAAAAACAAAAGAGCTAATCTGAAGAAAAATATAAACAAATAAAACAGAAAGACTCACAGATACAGAGAAAAAAACTGATGGTTGCCAGACTGAGGGTTGGGCGGTAGGCTGGGTAAAAAAGGTGAAGGGAGAAGTACAATTGGTACAACAGTTATAGAGTAACTATAACAATAGCTATTGTGCCACGGGGATGTAAAGTACAGCATAGAGAATATAGGCACTAATATTGTAATAACTATGTGTGGTGCCAGGTGGGTCCTGGAAGTATCAGAGGATCACTTGGTAAAGTATATGATTGTCTAACCACTATGCTGTACCTCTGAAACGAATGCAAAATAATATTGGATGTAATTGAAAAATAAAATTTAAAACTATAAAATAATTTTTTACAAATTTTATGTAAGAGAAGCCATGGCTCATTTGAGGTCTGTAGATTTTTGTATTTCATTTGTCTTAATTACAATACTTAATAGCAACTTTTCATAGTCTAGTATTTGAAAGAATCCAAACAAATTGTTTTTACTCTAATTAGAAAACTGAAGATGTATATCAGCCCATTGGTTTCGTTTTCTTATTAATTTAAAAATATTACATCCATTGGCTTTAATTTGCTGCCAGAAATTTACCCAGGAAGGCACAGTCCACACTCGAATAAAATGTATCCCATGGGAGGAACAGGAACGCACCAACACCGACTGTGCGACAGTCCCTGTGACGGAAAGCTGCGCGCTGTCTAGCGCTCCACCTACAGCAACAGCATCTAATCCTTCACAGTCGCCTGAGACAGCCATGGCAAAGCGTGAAGCAAACTCTGACTCAGAGAGCTTTCTAGCTTGTCTTTGAATACCCTGAATTAAAACCCATAAAGAATGTCCTGTTCCCATGGGGTTTCAGTTAGCTGTCAACTAATTCCCCAAGAATAAATGTTTTACCTGCTACTAACCTACTAAATATTGGGTGGGGCAAAAGTAGGTTTACAGTTGTTCATATAGAAAATATACAATAATTAATAAATAGTAAAACAAACCATGTTTCACATACTCACAACTGTAAGCTTACTTTTGCCACAGCTTGTATTTTAACCAAACACACTTCAATTGTAATACTCAAAGAAATGAACAATTTTGAAATGCCAGGTGGTGATAAAGATAAAAACACATGGTAAAGGAGAGGTATTTTCTGGCAGGTTTCCACCCCATATCTCTACATAACATCTATCTACTTTATATTTCAGAGACTTTGTTCTGTTAGCAGCTGGGTCTTGACAGAACTCTACACAATGGTTAAAATAAAACTAGTTGGGTAATTTCACACATCTGGAATATTATCTGACTTGGAACTTCTTAATCCCAACACACATGCCCCATTCTTTAAACAGTCGAATCTCCTTCTGTGAAATCTCTGTGCAACTATCTTTCTAAAATAATGATGCAACTGGTATTTAACAAAACAATGAAAACAGACAAAAGTGTAAGTATTTGTGGCCTATATATTATAAACAGGAAGAGTTGCCAAAAACAAAACAAATCCTTTATATTTAAAAAAATTAACTGTTCTGACTCTATGTTTACTGGGAAATTTTGTGTGAGTTCCCTTTTGCCTAAGCTTCCCCTGAAACAGCTATTGTCAAAGGCCCATACTATATACTTTGCTTGGTATTTCGGGTATTCTCTATGGCCTTGAGTAGTATCTATATATTGAAAGTCAGTCCAGGTGACCTATAAATTAAATCATCACCTCAGTAACTTTGTTTGGATGTCCCACAACAGTCACCTCAAACAGCACATTCAAAACAAAGCCCACTGATCTCCTAGTGAATGGTACCTTCATTCACCCCACTGACCATATCAGAAACCTAGGTATTAATTAGTTTTGCATTATCTTTTATTCTACTATCTCCTTAACCTCTGCATACAACACCCCTCAATCAATCACCAAATCATGTTCACAGACATGCAAATCTGAAGTCAGTTGTTTAAAAAATTTTTTAAAAAGAAAAAATAGGATCGTTCACAATTTAGCTCCAGCTTCCCCTTTTTGTACTTTCTACCTCCCTCCCCCTCTTCTCTATCAGACTTCTAAATTCTACCTATGATGAATTTCTTTCAGTTTCGTGACTACTTTAGGCTTCCTTCCTTTCTCAGAGAAAGCCTTTAAACATGCTGTTCCTTCTGCCGAGAAATCTCTCCCTCCACTCTCAACCCTATTTGACTTGGTTCACTCATAGGAATCCTTCCCTTGACCGTTCTTTTCCAGACCATTTTGTTTGCCTAAGCTTATCTCTCTTACATCATTCCTAAAACTCAAGTCCTTTCACTGTGAAAATAAAACCTTACTTAGCTCTGCATTTTCCATTCAGATTTTTTATTCTCTTCACATCCAAGGTTACTTCCTCACTCATTCATTCTTTTATGAATGCAATAGTTTTCTTCCACTGTTTCATCAAAGGGTAAAAGATTTCCTAACTGCCAAACGCAGTGGGCTCTTTTTTAGTCCTGTTATCTGACTTCAACATAGCAGATATTTTTGAAACACTTTTTCCTTGCCTTCTTTAATAATACTCTCCCTTGGTTTTTCTCTTACCTCCCCGAACAATCTCTTTTCAGCCTGTGATTTCCTCTTCTGCTCATCCTTATGCTGGCATTCCTCCAGGACTCTGTACTTGGCCTTCTATTCCTCTTATCTATTATTTCCTTTTGAGCAATCAGAACCATTTCTGCAACTTTGACAATTACTTATATGCATGATCCCCAAATTTCTCGTCTGTTCACATTTTCCTGTAAGCTTCAGATAGTTAAAAATACTGCCTATGGAAGATCTCTGTTAGATGCCCCACAGGAAACTTCAAGTCACAGGGTCCAAAAGGCATTTATTATTATTCTTTCCAAATTGCTCCCTCTTCTGAACAGCACCATATCTGAACAATTAGCTAACGCTGCAGATCTCCCTTACCCTCATGCTTCACAATTAATCACAATTAATGGGAGTTGTAGCCAACTCCCATCAAATCTCTCTTCTTGCTGTTTCTACTCCCCAGTGCAACTTCTAGGTTCAAATCCTGATCACCCCTTGTCTTAGTATTGCAAAGGTCTTCTTGCCTCCAATCTTGCACCCTTTCTAAATCATCCTTCACAGTGCTTCCAAAGTAATATAAATCACATGCTATTCACTACTCAATACGCATCCTGGCTGTTTATAGAACGAAGCTGGAATTCCTTAGCACAGTAAACACAGACCTCAATAGCTGCCTACCTGTTCGGTACCACCTATGTCCACATCCTGTGGTCTATCTTACTAAAATACTTAATGCTTCCTAAACATAACAAACTGCTGCAAGTGGTTCCTCCCGTCTACAGTCCTCTTCCCTTCTTTTAAGACTTTTATAAAATCGGTACAAAGAAAGCCCTTTCTCACAGTTGTGGAAGATATTAACCACTTCATCCTTTGTGCCCCTATGGCATTCTGATATATACATTATCGTTGGTAATTCATTTGATGATCTTGCCTGATCTAGATTCAAATAGTAATTCAGCTACTAACAAGCTGTGTGTGGGCAAATGAAACTCTGTCGGCTTATCTCATCAAGAGATAATGTAGAGTTGTTGTGAAGAAAGAATGAGAGCATTGTATAAATAAAGCACCTACTTCTATAAATGGCGTTATAGGTGTTTGGAAAAATGTTAATGTTACTGCAATTATTTCCCCTATGCCACTCTGTGCAAGCTTGAAAAACATCTTGATCAAATGAACTGTAAGGTGCTATATTACTAACACGGTATTTGTGTTAAAACACATTACTGAATTCTAAAATGATTAGTACGATTATTAGTTGTCTGGAGGGAGAGGTAGGTAGGAACCAGGGAAGAAAAGTGGATTAGCTGGGGTCAAGGGTCCGTTGAGAGGCCCAACGATTGACAGTAAGGATTAATTTTCTGGTACTTTGCAACCTCACTAGTACTCTGATTAAACTGTTGCTTCCTAGGAGTCCCTAAAGACCATAATTGTGTGAATTCCAGATATGTCTTTCCTCCGTAGGCCCTGCTTCCAGCGGGCAGAGACCTAATCCCCACTACGTCCACTTCTCAGCAAATGACGCCTTGAAAAAACGTTGGTAGAACAAATTTTTAAAAATATTGTATCACACAAGACACATACCTAGCACGCCAACACATACATCAATCTCCAAAGCCTACCAATAGATGTGCTGGCAATCCCTTCACAATTCTCCGCAAGACCGCAAGGCAGACACACACCCACCCACGCGCGCACACCCGCCGCGCGCGCCCCCAGCCTGAGGGCCCACTCGCCTTCCCCACCGCCGTGCGGCCTCCGGCCACTCACAGGAAGTTCTCCATCGCGATGCGGACGATAGACCCTTCCACAAAAGGTCCGGACGACGGTAACGGCAGGGGCGGCGCCGAACTCTTACTACTTTTGCTCGGGACCTCCGCCGAGGGATCTCTCGGGTGAGCTCTCTTGGAGGCCAGGGGGGTTGGGGTCGAGGTCTTCCGGTTCGAAGTCGCCATCCTGGCTTCCCCGCCGCCCCGCAGCAGCTCCGGATCCTACCGACCTGCGGACCCAGCGCCCTGACGTCCCGCTCCCGCGCGAACTGTTCGGCGCGCGACACCACCTAAGAGCCCGCCCCGCGGCTGCGCAGTCCCGCGGTGGCGTCAGCGGCTACGCCCCGCCCTGGACGTGGAAGATCTGTGCGTAGGAGAACGGGGGTGGAGGTGGATGGGAGGCCCAGAGAAATGCGGGTACCAGACCTTCTTTTTCTGCGCGTTTCTGAAAATTTCAGGGTTTTTTTTCAATTTAGGAAAAGATGTCAGTTTCATTTAGTGTTTTGAAAGCTCTTTTAGCGCTCCAAGAAGATCTGCGAAGGGACGAAGGGTGGCGTTTGCAGTGGGACCTGGGTCGCTGGGGAGGGCTGAGGACCCGGGGCCACAAAGGCGGGTGGCCTGTTACCGATGGTGTGGATTCCGCCAAAGTGCTGCGGCACTCGCAGGTCTTCGCTCTTACTCTTCGCAGGGTGCTTCCTGTTTGCTTTCAATCAAGCTACCTTATCTGAAATAAAGAAAACTCTTCCAAGTGACTCTAGACCCAAATAGCTTTCTCAAAGCATTGTCCTAAGTCCAACATGTGAAAAGAGACTACACCTCGCTGATTCTTCCTATTTACTCTCCACCCTTTGGCTCCCCAATACCCTATGAAGACTTCGTCCTCCCGAGGTTTGTTGTAATGCAGGAGCTTTGGCTTCATTTCGAGGGTGCTTCCTTAACCTTGTTCACATTCGTCTAGTTAACCCCTTCAGTAAAGATGAAGGGCACTGCAAGTTCGGATTTTGAGCATTAACTCACTATGTCTCTTCGCTTGGCACCCTGCCAATAAACTGCTTTACTTTCTGCACGGAAAAAAATAAAAATGAAAAGAGCACTGAGGCAGGCCCACATAGCTCTTCATTCTCTTAACTAGCAATGTCTAATCAAGAGGCGGGGGCTGCTGCAATAAAGGAGCCAATTAAGGTTGCTTGTCTCCTAGCTTCCTTTGTGGTATGGGCCAGAAAAAGAACCAGTGAATCACCAAAGGAAGGATCATCTCAGGCTGTGATAGATGCAATAAACAAACTAAAACAATGAATCGGATGGGGAGACATGGAAGGCAGTCTGAGGAGGTGATATGTTTGAGCCAAAAAACCCTGAAGGACAAGGAGCCAAGTGTCTACGTCAATGAACTAGGACAAAGGCTCTAATGTGACAAGTGGGATGGTTCAGGAACAAAGGCCTGTGTGGCTGCAATAAACAAGGTTGCACAGCACAGCCTTGCCGGTGGTGGCACAGCTGAATTTTATTTTAAAAGCAATGGGAAACCACTGGATGGTTTTGAGCAGAAGAGGAAGTTGATCGACTAAGGTTTTAAAGTGACTTCACTGGTTGCTGTTTGGAGGGAGTCAAGCTTGGAAGTGGGAGGCCATTTAGAACTATGCTCCTTCCCCACATCTGCTTTTTCCCCTCATGAAAATGGAATCCCCATTTTCTCAAAGTTATAACCGAAGGAAATAGAATGAGTAAAAAGAATGTGAATTTGTCATGGCTACTAGAATTTTTTTTTGAAAAAGCAAATTAAAGAATAATTTTAAAACTGTCAAATGACAGAAAAAAATACTCAGTGCTCATAGGAGAGTGCTACATTGTTGTTAGATAAGACAGAATTCTCAGGGTCTGGGCAGTTTTTACTAACTGCTTTGGAGACTGGACTGCAACCCAATGAGCTTAACCTGAAGTTTAGTCAACTGCAAAGAAGAAAACATGTGACTAACCAAATAGTGCTTATAAGCAATGGCTAAATCTTCCTTCTGGGAGTTGGGGCTTTGCCTGTCTCCCTTCCTTGTTGCAAATAAAACTGCCTAAGGACAACTAAGTCTTGCTCTTGAACACAGTGCTCTAAGCTGGGAACCCTTTGAATCTGGTAGATCTGTCAACCCTGCATTGCTATAAAAAAAAAAGTACCTCATTTGGTACCCTTGCTTCAGAGCCATGGGAGAGTCAAATTCTTTGAAGAATTGATCACACTTGGGGGAATCTATCCTAATGGGAAGATAATACAGGCAGTGGTGATGAGAGTTGAGAGAAGGGAACCAGTCTGATCATTTTTGTGCCACCATCATTTCTATAGTGAATTAATCAAATTGTGCTTATAAAATTGAAGGTTAAGGATGAACCTCAGATCTTGTGATGACATGGCATGCACATACACTATGAATTCTTGTCTAAGTAGCCAGCCAATCATACTCTACTATCATCTTTTAAAAAGGAAAAGTTTGTTTTTAATTATAAAAGTTTGTTTTAATTATAACCATATACATGGTAAATGAAGATACTTCAGGAACACACACAAAGAAACCAAACTCACAAAAAAATCTATTCATAAATCTTTTGCCCAGACTAATAACTGTTAAGACTTTAGTGTGTTTTTTGATGTTTTACTTGCATATGTATAGTATGCTTTTTCATTTAAAAAAAAGATGCAGGACAAATTATAGATATTATTATTTAATCTCCCTTTCTCACTGAATATATTATGAGTATCTTTCCATGTCATAAACATTTTTCTATGACAATTTTAAGTAACTGTGTAGATGTACTATAATTGACTTAAATATTTTTTATTGGCATTTGTATGACTGGAAGTTATCATGAACCAAGAATACTCTGCAGACTATAATAGCTTTAGTGCTAACCCAACATTCTTAAAAAAATTCATATACCTATAAAAATATACAAATCTATCTTGCCACATCTAGATTCTTTAATTCCACTGATGAAAACTGTCCTGCAAAAGGTGGTGGTTAAAGAGGCTGAGGGATAAGTTCTTTAGAAAGATTATCAATTAACCAGAATATGTTAAGGAGTGAATGAGCCACAACAGCTAGTCCTAACACTTCTTAGGGTTTAAAGTTCAGTCATCAGCTGACTTCATCACCCCATCCTTGCTAGTTAGTAGACATAGCAAAGTCATTGTATTTAACTTTCCACTGATCAAGGACTGAGTAACCTGGGCCATTTTGAATGACAGCCTTTCATTCTGGAGGAACTTGAAAACCAGTGCAAACAGAACGCTCACTACCAGAAAGGGGCAGGGTCAAGGACTATGTGTTTCACCTCATGATCAAAATACCATCTTTCTTGTTCTCTTCCTTGGCTTCACTTCAAGCCCTTGATAATGATGCCACAATGCCAGGGAGGTGGGGCAAGATGGCACAGAATGGGACTCCACTGAGATTCTAGTTCTAACCAGAACCCTCACAGGGAAACAGGAACAATCTCCTCTGGTTTGCATACCAAGGGAGAAAAAAACATTACTTTTGCTTTTGGCAAATTCTGAAAGTGGAAAAGTGAACCCTCATGGCTTGAAAGAGAGGAAGTCAGTCACACGCTAAAACCTGAGTTTTCGGCACCCAGGAACAACCATTCTCCCGCTCCCTCCACTTTCCTGTCACACTCTTTCTAACAGACCTACTTAAAGAACTCGTGGGGAAGATCTAGGCAGGGAAGGGGCGTTCTGGGGAGAATCAGCAACCTTCTGGAGGGGCTAAAACCCCGTGGAACAAGCTCTGCTGAAGATAAGGATACTTTTCTCTAAAGTTTTTCATTTTTTAAAAGTTATTTCTAAAATCATACGAGACAGAATATCTGCTCTCTCTTACCACAAGCATATTAGTATTAGAGTTGGCTGTAGTAATAGCTATAATATTAACCACACACCAGCCGCTACTGTTCGAAGCACTTTTTAATAATTCATTTTATATTTTGTATGAATGCCTCTTTCTCAAATTTCCATCTCTTAGATACAAAAACCAACTGAAAGACTAAAAGAATCAGTAGGAATTAATATCAGATTTCAAATGTTCTTGGTGGTATGTCATGCTAAGAAAGCCTAGAGCTAACCTTGCCTTCATTTCTTTTGAGAATATAAAAATGGGAAGACAGTATGACGTTGCTCCAGAAGGCATTTATGTTTAATTTCAGAAAGATCCCAAACGGGCGCTGAGGTGCTGTGTGCGGTGTCCTCTGCAGGTCCTCGCAAGGTGCAGTGATAGTCCTCCTTGCCCACCCCAGGGCAGGAGAGCAAGTGTTCCTTCTCACACCTTGTTACTTCCCAAAGGAAAGAAAGTTGGTCATTGTTAAACTGTGGAAAATCTGTTGAAATTAGCTCCGTGAATGACCAAATTCAGTACTGTGGTCTCAATCCCCAAGAGTGACATTTCATCCCAGCATCTCAAGCTGGGGTGCTGCCGAACTCTCCCATAAACTTGTTGGTTTTAATATCTCACTTCCACAGCTTAGATTGGTAGCCGTGAACCTCTTTTTTTATCATCAAAATTGTATTTTTGTTATTTGAAGAAGTTTGAAAATCCAAAAAGCAGAAACTAACAACCATTCACCCGTATTTCTACAGTTAAAAATTAATACTGCTAACAATTTGTTTTGATTTCATCTAGTTTTCTCTATAATCCACTTTTTAAAACTTTAAACATGAAATATATGAATTTGTTTTCCTTTAAAACTTAGAACAATGCAGATAAAATTAGTGGCATTTGACATTTTTTTCTTAATCTTATTCCTGTACCCCTTCTCTCCTAGTTAACTACTCTTTCCCACTTGTTGATTGGGTGATGTACTCTGAGGCCATTTTAATATTTCACATGCATTTTAATCAGAGAAAACATATAGTAATAATTTGAGTGTGGCTATGTCACATAAATATGTTACATAAACACATAGTGTATTACATGTATAATTATTAACATGAAAATACGATAATAATTATACAAGTTGTTTTTTATTCAAAAATTTAATTTTGAGATATATCCATGTTGACTCATATAAATTTGGTTTCCTTTTAACTTTTCTAGGGCTTTGTATAAATATATCACACTTTATCCATAACCCTACTGATTTGACATATAGATTGCTTCCAGTTTTTCATTTTTACATACATTGCTTCAGGAAACATCCTCGGATATCTTTATGGGTATGTGCTAGTATTTCTCTAGAATAGATACCTAGAACTGGAATTGCTGGACCATATATCACACTAATTACTTTCCTTCAGTTTCTTGGTATCATATCTCGTAGCCAA